TTTCTAATTTCTGATACCGATTCAATTCGTATGTGCCTTTTTACCCGGAGAAACAATGGTGTTACGTTAAATATGTTTTCGACAACTGAGCGTAAAAACGTTGGGACGTCTTACCAGGCGTGTATGTGTGCTGAACAAGCAGATTATGTTTATTAGTTTAATGCCATAATCATTGACAATCCACAACATTACGTCAAATGTATCAGCAATCGACGGGGCTATATTGATTGCACCCCTAAAAATTCGCGCTGTGGATACATTTGGTTCACGCGTCTTTAATATCGATGCATCCAGTCGGACATAGAGATGACTAAGTTGCTGCCGATAGCTTTTTGTCAGGACTTGACGCGCAGATTTTGTAGTCTCCAAAAGAACCAAACGAAGACTAATCTTCCAGTCATCCCACCAGTAGGCCAAGATCCGGGCTGTGTTATAGTTCGACGCCGAGACAGAAATAATTGCGTCAGCTCGAAGCTATACCAGCGCAATGGCCGCAATAATAGCTTTGTGCGCGGCCGCATGTGCACGACCTGGCACAGGATCCACGCGCCTCGGCTTTCGGGCACGGATCACATGACGGGGCACGCCGATCCTGATTGTCATGACATTGTGGTCGGCAGCAGGACCCGACATAGAAACGTCTAGAATCCTATCAGCATGTTGAGAGCTCACAACCACCTATCCAGTCGTGAACTTGCCGATATACCGCCCGGCAGCGTGCATAAATAAGTGTGAGCCACCGCTTCAAATGCCGGTACAGCCCTCTCTTCCTCGGCGACCTCCATGTCACCATCAATAACATCACTGAGCTGCGCTCGACCGAGAAATCGCCGCCACGCCAAATAATCGTGACGTTCGGGTGAAGATATAAAGGAACGGTCGAGTCGCGGCTCTAAAGTACAGTTGAAGTCCTTACCAACAAACATGGGTCCGTCGTATGCCTGTAGTTGAAGTAGAAGGCTCTCTTACAGCTACTCCCGCTCAGTCTTGACACTTGGTGCATACACGTTGACAACAAGAACTGTTTCTATTAGGAGCGTGAGATAAACATCCATCCAGTGCGGCGTCCAATGCTCCTCAGAGCACGGGACCATTTCCGTGACCGACGAGTAGGGGTTTCATAACATCGCCACTCCCCTCTAGAGTGCTCTGACTCTATCCACAATGAGCGTCCGCGCTGGTAGACAAAGCTTCCGGAGGACGAGTAAAGCTTTTCCATTGTAATCGACTCACCTATCGTGTCTCGCGTTCCTTAGATAAGAACCAAATCGATCGATTAGCTGGTTCGTTCTGTCGGAAGTGACTAAACCCAGATGAGCAGTGTTCCGGATGCTTAAGAAATCTCGCGGCATTGTGCGAATGGAGACCGATGCTGTTGTTGCGCGGATGACGGGACGCTTTCAATAAAATTCTACGACAACGTTAAAGCATGATCCGTGGAGGTACACCCCCTAGATCATCCGAGACGCCCTCAGCACATAGAGTCTAGCAGTTGACCATCGCGAACAATAAGTTTAAGCACCGGATGTCAGTTGGCAATATGAAGAAAATGCCGACGACCGCCGCGCGCACCTTTATGGGGGGGGGTATAGCACAGCCTTCGTTTACGGCATTGCCACGTTCGTCCCAGTCTCAATGGGTGCATTCTTTGGTAGCAAAACGCACAGCACATTGAAGACCTCCCAATGATCCAAGTCAATAAGCGGTTCGACAACAGTCGCGCACAATGAATCAGGCTGTATTTTGCCGAATCGTCTCCATTGTTGGATATTGTACGTCGTTCTCTATCGAATTTGACCGGTTTGCCCATCTGTCGTGGCGGCCCAACCCGTGCACAGATCGCGGACTTTTGCATCGGCGTGTGGGGTGTGTTGCCGGATCACAGCCAGTTGAGATTCACTATTTATGGCACATCCAAACAAGCGCGGGGCTTCGCCCGGCATGAAGGCAAGATAAGCAATAGGAAATAAAGAGAACGGATACGAGTCTCGCCAAATCTAGGGCACACGTGATTACCCACTCACCTTATCCCTTTGGTCCAACTGGCATGGGTAGTCGGTAGTTTTTCAACCGATTGTGCTGGCTGACCAATGTACGAATCGCATACATGTTCGCTGAAACGTGATTCATGATCTCCGGCTCAGCAGCAGCCGCCACCGCAGCAGATGCGGTGTCTGGGCCTTTGCGCACCCTAGTTGCACGTAAAGTCTGGTCGTGAGTATCTGAAGCGCGAACGTACGCAATCGGCGACCGGACCGCTGCCGCCGAGCACAGGTCGCCCATACCAGCGTCAGGGCGTTTGGCATACCAGAAGTGCATGTTTCGGGGTCGTCGACCAAAACAAGACAAAGTTGCGAAGCGATGACCACTTGTTTACAGTTAGACTCAGTTCTCGCCAATCACTACGTCGACGACAAACTTTGGACTCGGGTAGCATCGAGAGTTTCATGAAGCTCATGCCAGCATCGCTTGAAAAGGGTATCCAAGCGACGAGGAAAGAAGGGTTGTCACCCGGATTTTGGTCACGGTACGTAGCCGGGACGGGGCGGTAGACACAGATCGTTGCAGACGAAGACCAAACTAAGCCTGCAAGTCGCGCAAGTGTCTGTTCGCGTTCTTGTTCGAATCGGAGTTCCCCTCGGGGACAGACTCCTTCTTCTTCTTGTCATCCTTCTTGCCACCCTTTTTGGCGCAGTTGTCGTTGCAGCACTTGTAATAGGCGACGATTGTGGGGAACTTGTGGCAGTCCGAGGTGAGCTTATCGACAAGGTCGTGGCCGACGCCAACGCACTTGGGCTGACCAGCGCATTCCTGGTCTACAGCCGAAACGAGGTCAAAGCTGGAGACGACGGCAGCGCTGACGAGGAAGAAGATGGCCTTGACGTGCATGCTTGCAAGAGTTTGCGGATCGATATACTGCGTTGTGGTGTACGAGGCAATTTGAAGAATGACACGTCGGACGGCAACGCTCAAGAATCGAGTGCGTTGTACGGATAGTTGAGATATAGCGAAGGAGGATGAGGTGGGACATACCGACCATGTGACGGGCATGAGACGAAGGGGAAAGTATCCCGACTGTGCGGATTAGCAACGTACCGCGAATAATTCGAGTGAGTGAGTGTCGATCCGAGCGAGCGTTGGTCTCTGTCGATCACGACGCTATCACCTACGATGTTGTCGCCCCGATCGAACGTCTTCACGTTCTAGCAATCCCTACGTGAAAACGCCGGAGGCTATCTTAACTCGCACGCTGGTTCGCGCGGCAAAATGCACGCATTACGATAGTGTAACGCGTCGAATCACCTTTACCCTTGCTGATCGAGCGTCTGCATTTGGATGGCACTCCAAGGATATCGAGTACAGAGGAAGCCGCCTGCGCCTTTAATGCCCTACAATCCTTGAGCGAGAGGACTCACCGCTTCATGTGTCTGACAACTACGCTTGTGGTGGCGATCCTCTCCGATACCAGGTTCGAGTGCTTGCCACTGGAGTATCTGCTGGCGCCATAGAAGCGCTCCTGTCTGCGAGTGTCGACTGTTCCATTGTTTCGGTCTCTCGGGCGCCTTTGGCGTCGGCGGAACTTTACGACTCGAATTTTTTCTTGGTGACTTTCGATACACCAGAATGCCCACACCAGCTTCGGCAAGTCACGCATATCTAGGCGCCGGGACTTTCTCTGTTCTTGCACCATTTCCGTCAATACCAGAGGGTCCCGTGTTTTGGATGCTACTCGCCATTCCAAACAATCTCGAGATGCACCGGCCAAGACGTTACCGTCCAGAGTGTACACCACCGCAATTTTTCGAAGCCATCTCACTCGCTGTCGTTGGTACCTGAATTAACGCTTACCCACCTGGATGTAGAGGACCGTTTTGCTCACATTCAAAGTCTATCCAGTTCTCTCAACACTACGAAGGAAAAGTTACACGAGGAGGCTCGCACGACGCCACTCCTGGTGCGTTTGTCTGTACCGCCTGACCACGCACGGGATGACTCGATGCGCCCGGAACGTCAACCTCCTTCCCCAGTTTCATCAGCACGGTCTCACCCTTACCCACAGGATGCAACCGATTCAGGAATGGCTCCTCGCCCTACCGACGGCTGGTTTGACCCTGGGGACGGAAGAAAGCGCAAAACAGCGACGAAAAGTAACATACACCGCTCAGGCAAGCACGCTCCGCCTGCCGCGACTCCCAAGGAGCCCAATCGCAAGGAAGTGACACGTGCTATCATTCCTGCAAAACCTGGACCGAAACACAAGGCCGCCGACCGAACAACTCTACCTCAACCCCAGGTAACGCTTCCTGCAAGCCATACAGACACGGGGCCTACAAAGTCTACACCACCTACCTTGCCACCGCGACCAGTGAAATCATCTTCGACAAACACTGCGGCTCGACTGAAAGTTGGAAAGACGAAACAATTTACAGCTGCCCTAGCGGTGCTCAACAACAAACGCACTGGTACACGTGTGGAATCTACAGCACCCATTAATGACCCCATTTTGGGTAGTGATGACGTTACAAAACTCTCTGTCAAGCGTTCATACTTATCCACTCAAGCGGATGCAATTACCGCTACTCTCGTGGACTTGCGGTCCGTTGCTGCCACAGCACGGGACCATACAAACCTGGCGAAGGCTGCCTATCATGACACAAACTCTGTGTTGATCGAAAAGGCCTTTCTCTCGGACCCGGACGCGAGTGCTTCGTCGGGTCTTCATCGGGCTGAGGAATCAACTATTTTGGACCTTGAACATCGATTCCGCGTCGCAGTAATCTGAAGAGACCGCAGCAACCGAGGCCGTTACGCGAGCAGAAGCTGTACAGAGTGGCCTAATGAAGAAAATTGCCCGTTTGCTTCCGTCCGAATTGCCGGTCATGGAACCTCTTCCTTGCGCGGTTGAACCTCTACCGACTATCAGTGATACACCTGACGCGATAGCTGATCGATTACGCCAGCATAGCAGAGAAGCTATTCTCGGATTCGTCCTTACGTTTATGCGTAAACGCCGTCAGAATGGAGACCCTGCCACTTCGGGATCGTCAGAGGAGGCTTATGACTCGGAATCTATGGACCACGCCAGCGCACGAGCAGGCACCACTGCCGAGGATCCCAACACTTTTGATCGCACTTCTGTAGATGGCGCAGTTCATTATGCAAACAACTCGATAGGCGACCCCGAGGCCGTTGTGGATATTGATATGGAGTCGGTATACATGCCCCAGAACACAATGCGGCTAGACGAGCTCGGCGACACCGAATCCAATAACGCTGGATTGAGTCCGGACACACGAGACCCTGCGTTTTTGGAGGACAAGGTCCCGATTCCCGCGGCGCTCGCAGCGACTTTTGAATCAGACGACCCACCTATTCCTCCGCTGAGTGCTCCTGCGGTGGATCCTGTCGAGATTTCGCCTTCATTTGAGCTAACGATTTTTCACGGCCATCAACTTGCCGCGCGCGCATCTGACAAGCACGCACGTACCCTCACGGCGTCCAGAGTCCGCAAGTCCTCCTTGAATGCGTCGCCAATGATAGCTGCGGCTGCACTGACCGAGGGTTCTCGTTGCGCAGCAGCCAATTTACTGGTGATCAAGAAGTGGGTTGCGAACCGCTCATGTGTGGTTAGTATTCCTCACGTATTGCCTACTACAGCTTCTGGTCAAAATGAATGGATCCGGCACTGTACTGCGGAGCTTGTAGGACTCGTGATGGCGCTACCTTTTCCAATCCAGTATCTTAAATGCATGACGCCCACGACTCTAAAAACTTTTGGGCATGCCATCAATAGCGAGACCCAGCTTTCGGTCATTCGCCGGTATGCCACCCATGCCGATTTGGAACTTAACCGGTTTTGCCGCTCATGGGATGCGGTGGCGTCGCAACAGCTAGGCGTTATCAGGTGGAAAACTACGGACTCCATACAACGCTGGAGGAAAGTTCGTAAATTGCACCCAGAGTTGCTGTGCGCGACTGTCGTGGACCCTATCGCTACCGATGACTGGGGCGTTTTAAATGTTCTCTGCTTGATGCTGCCTACCCTGGCACCAGCGGACAATGCGTTCGCGGTCGTATGGCCTCAGACAAAAGCGTCCATTTACCACTCTTCTGTCTCTATACGCACAGCCGTCTCCCGTATTGTATCCAAACAGGCAGACTGGAGTACGGCTATTAGTCTTATCGCTGATGAGACTCGGGTGGTTCCCCTCCGCTCTTAAGGGCATCGCTGAGGTATCAACTACTGCGTCCGTAATGCAGTCGGCAAATATACAAGCGAGAATGCGTACCCAGTCTACGTGGCGTGAAATTGCCGACCGGACTATGTCGTCCCCTCCACCTAAATGCGCCCTCCCGGTTGATCGGGCAAGACGCCCACAAGAAAACTCAATTGGACTACACTCCCAGAACGTCCAAGGCCTTCCTAAAGACCCAGTGCTTTGTGCACAATGGTTCTCCAACTTCCGTCAGCACGACGAGCGGGGACCCCTAGATGTTGTGCTGCTTCAGGAGACGCACGTGCTGGTCGGTGAGGCACACGGACTTGATACACTCTATTGTGCTACTTGGGGATTTCACATAGCTCACCCCGATGAGAAACGGGGTATGACGCTATGGTCGGAGTCTTCCAAGCGTAGGGGTGGTGTTGCAATACTACTCAATCCATACTCGACAATTCAGGCGATTACGCCCTGGATGGAGGAGGCATGGACACCGCATTGGATGGGCTCGACTGTCACAATACACAATGAAGAGTTTTTGATACTGAATGTTTACGCGCCAAACGCTCGGAATGATCGAGAAAGTTTGTTCAAATTGCTCACGACAGCGCTTCAGAGCTTTGCCGGACCGGTAATACTAGGGGGTGATTGGAATTGTACTCTGTTTCCTAGTCTGGACCGGTCACATGTTACTACCAACGGAACCCATCATTATTCACCTGAGTTACGGCGTCTACTGGATTCCAGGGAGATTGTGGATGTGCTTGAGGATGACATAGAGACTGCGCTAGCAGAGCGAGGCCACTCCGTGTTTCATTCACAAACGCACACATACAACTATACATTGCAAGGAGGAGTGCGGGCTAGCTCTCGGTTGGACCGCTGGTATGTTAGCGCCAGGGTGTCCGATTGGATCCGAGACACCAGCATGTCAGTTCCTGGGCCAAATTCGGATCACAATGGAGTTACCGTTCGTCTCGCAGCTCCGAAAACAGTTGTTAAACAGCGAAAACCACGCCGGGTATACCCTGTCGCTGCTGTGGTGCACTCCACAGCTAAGAACACTATTACGCAAGCCCTAACCTCAGCTTCGTTGATTCTTGAGTCAGTCCGACATTTACCTCTGACTGATGTCTCTACGGCGATCAATCTAGCGCGGTGGTGGGACGTGTGGAAAGTGGGTCTCCGCAGGGCATTACTGAACGACTCACGCACGATACGTCAGAAGATGACTAATAGTTATCGTCATCGATTGCGACGCCTCCAAGTAAATCTTCACGCGGCCAAGGTCTCTAACCGTAACACCGACGAAACTGTTACTATTTTACGCCAAAAGGTGGCCGAATGTCGTAGAAATTGGCAACGGCGGAAGAGGGAACAACTACTTCGACAACACACATACAGACCTGGAGCAACTACCCGCCAGTTTTTTGCACGAGTGTCCTTAAAGTTTAGAGACAACACTATTACCTCACTCGGCGGACCCGCCCCATACGGACCCAATCGGTCGCGAGATCTGGCTAATGACATGGCTGATGGGTGGGCGGATTTGTTACATCGACATCTCGATGATCAGGAGTGTACCGAGCGTTTTCTTGCAAGAGCTCCTACGCCCCCGTCGTTAAATGACGAACAAGTGGTATCTGCAATTGACTCTGCCGATGTCCTAGCCGCTATTAAGAAGTGCAAACATGGAAAAGCATCCGGACCAGATGAAATTGGCAATAGTTTTTACAAGGATTTCTCTGAAGAACTTGCACCCATCCTGTCGGAATTATACACCAGATGGCTTGAGTGTGGAGTGACGCCTTGCTCATTTGGCGAGGCCAACATTCACTGTCTCAAGAAATCATCAACGTCTTCTCGACCGCTAGACCATCGGCCAATCGCTTTACTCAACAGCGATTACAAGATTTTTACTAAAATATTAGCTACCAGGCTACGAGCGATGCTGCCATTCGTGGTCGACACTGCACAAGTTGGATTTGTACCAGGTCGCAATATCGCGACTGCACTCGATATATTTGCTGCGACGAAGATCGCGGCAACGACTGAAGAAGCCACAAAAGATGCAATTGTCCTCCTTTTGGACTTTGCTAAAGCGTACGACACCTTGCAGCGACCCTATTTACTAGCGGTTCTCAAATGGTTGGGGTTTTCGCAGAAATTTGTCGCCATCGTATCCGCGCTCCACGCGAACACTACATGCAAGTTCTTGGTCAATGGATTTCTGTCGCGAAAGGTCAAGATGAACTGCGGCATCCGACAGGGTTGCCCAATGGCTCCTTTGCTTTTCATTCTCGCACTGGACAGCGCGTACAAGGTTTTTCGAATACGTTCAGATATTCATGGAGTACGAATCGCTTCACCTGGAAGGGAAGAAACTATTGTTATATCTGGTTATGCAGATGACACGGCCGTTTATCTCGCCCACTATCGGGATATCCCTAAGGTGCTTGAAATATTTGGAGCTTTTCAAAATGTGTCGGGGTTGGCTATAAACAAGAACAAGTCGATCGTCGTTCAGCTAGGGAGTCAAACGCCACTGTCACCGGATCACACACTCGGTCTAACGTTACTGAACCCAGCTAACCACTGCCGATATCTTGGTGTTCAAGTTGGGCATGGCGATTTTTCTACTATCAACTGGGACATCTGTATCCAAGCAGTATGGGCACGTTTAGCTTTGGCCCGTCAAAAGACGCATTCGGTCGAACAGCGTTCCCACCTGGTTCGAGCCATTGCTGTACCCAAATTCCTGTACGTTGCTCGGCACTGCTGGCCGTCGAAGGCTATTATTTTCCGACTAAGCAAGCTAATTAAAGATTTTATCTGGGGCACCCGAGACGGAAAAAGGAACAGACCATGGGTCCCTGCTGAACAAACAGAACTACCGATCGCGCAGGGGGGGCTTGCGGCACCATGTATTACGACTGAGCTGATCACGATGGCTGCAAAAACTGTTGGGAAATGGGCTGCTTCATCCGGATACCTTGATCGCCTTATTGGGGACGCCTTATGGGGGGAGGCAAGACCCAATCCATTTACATTACCCCAAATTGGTCTGGAACAGTATCAATCCGCATTAAACCCACATTGTGGGAAACTGGAGCGGCCGTTGTTGGTGTATCGGTGGCTGAACATGCTCGAGGCGGAATCGCTGAGCGTGTGAGTGGGAGGGCAAAATGTTTTCTACCCAAATTTCATGACACATTTCACAGCGATGGTAGCGTTGTAGTGGATGCCACGAACGTCTTGAACCTTCACACTTTCACAGATAGAGCGACAGAAGTGGCTCACCTCGGTCGAGTAGACCTGCGATGGTTACAGCATGCATCGCTCAAAAATCTTTCTTGGCTATTGTCCCGAGATGGAGTGCAATACGACCTCAAGAGTGCAAGTTTTGCGACAGGAAAATATACACTCGGAGATGCGCTTACATGGACATGGATATGTCCGGGAAAAGTGCGCTTCACACCAAGAACGGAGATCACTACAACGATTCATACCGCTAAGACTCGCCAATTCGCGGGATTCTGCCACGCATTGTTGTACAATTTTCCTGAGCTACTAGTTCTTTCGGTTCCAACGGGTACACTTACATCGTACATGGAGAGACCACCCCACCATACTAGATGTGTCTTGAACGACAGTGGCAAGAACCTTACGGTCTGTACTAAGAACAACACTCAATCAATTACACCGGTAAATACCATGGTGGACTGTGACCAGGTGGCTTCTCGCGCGCTTTTCGCGCAGGTACACTGTGCAGCCCACCCAACTATGACACGGATCACGCAAATATGGACAGGCACATGTCGCTGGAAACCCCGTGCTCAGGCACTTAAGAAAATTGCGTCGAGGTTGCGACACACGGCAGGCATCATCAAGCGTGATCAACGATCTCAAAGCCGTAACTACGCACTTGTAACACACAGTCTCGAACTGGTGCTTTGGCGCGATATACGCCGTATCCGTGCCACATCTCCGTATGTCTCGCAAACGCTGTACCGACTCAAGTGTAACCGTTTTCCACTCTGGAACCGATCTGCAAACAACCTGTCGTGTCCAGCCCCCGAATGCTCTTCACAAGACTACGCCCCGGTTGTTCATATTTTCTGGGAATGCCCCGTAGCCGAGAGACGCTGGAGATGCGTTTGCGAGGTCTGGAGCCGAATTGGTCGTTTTACTGAGGCTGAATTACCGGTAAACATTTTTTCACTAGAACTTTCCCGTACTCCAGAACGTGCGTGGGTTATCGCTCAAGCCTCATTAAATGCGTGCGACAGGACACTGGACGCTCGAGAAGCCTGCTATGAAGCTTCAACCGAACTATGGCGCTTTGTAGTGTCGATTACTTTTCACACAATATGGTTGGAGCGGCTCAGACGCATCGAGGATCCTACACTGTCAGTGGAGACCCATCATGCGGTCGCCCAATCCAGGCTACGTAGAGCGCTCTCATGCTTCAGGAACTCCACCTACCAACCTGGCGGTGGTACATCTGAACAAGTGCTGGCGAGAATGCGCTCAGCTTTGGCAGATGACCTTCTACAACACACTGGGACCCCAATACTGCTGCTAAACGCTCAACCAGCCTTTGCAACGAACCTGTATTTGCTATTCTTCAATGGTGGTTCACAGGGAAACCCCGGACCAGGAGGCTCAGGCTCCGTCATTGTCTGTGTTCACCCACAGACACATGCCGCTACAATCGTCTGGATGGCTAGTATATCACTTCGAGTGGGGACGACTACAAACAATTCGGCTGGATATAATGGTCTCATTCAAGGCCTACGGCAGGCAAAACACAGCGAATTACTACCGTTGCATGTCATCGGGGACAATGTAATGGTAATTAATCAACTCCGAGGGTATCGCTCACCTCGCAAGTCGAACCTAGCCGCACTGTACCGACAAGCGCGAGCATTGGCTGACGATGTATCAGTCGCCAGCTGGGCTCACCACATCCGGGAATATAATATGATGGCAGAAGTCGCAGCGAACACTGCGATGAATACCAAGACAACTCTTCAAGTTCACGATCTGACAGATACGAACATCTATACGGACATCACGCATCACATACAGCACGACGTCAACCACTGGCTCGAGACATCAGTCGAACTCGACCGTGGATCGAATAATCGCAACATGCAAACTACCCGCGAGAGGGCATTGCCAGCACAGCTAATGGTGGCCAGGAGAACTGCTCCTCACACGGTAGCGACTTCACTCATCATAGATAGCAACACCAGATAGTTTAATCTCTCTGGAAGGGTATTGTTGGTCGATAACGTTCCTCAATATACCTCACCTTCAACAACAACAACATCCCTACGCGAAAGTATCGATGACCGCATGTCGCATACGGCACTGTCACCGCGAT